TCTGCCATGGATTGATCCAGACTGCACTGGAACAGGGGCAAGCTCCAGAACACCTGCAATACATTGATGACATTATCGTGTGGGGCAGTACAGTAGAAGAAATTTTTGACAAAGGGAAGAAAATCCGAATCTTTCTGAATGTGTTTTGACATAAAACAGAGTAAGGTCAAGAAGGGACCTGCAAAAGATACTGAGTTTTTAGGAACAAAATGGCAAGATGGACATCATCAGATCCCTGCAGATGTGATCAACAAGATAGCAACAATGTCTCCACCAATGAATAAGAAAGAAACACAAGCTTTCTTAGGAGAATTGTGTTCTGGAGAATGTGCATCCCAAATTACAGTCTGATTGTAAGCCCTCTCTACCACGTGACCCAGCAGAATGATTTCAAATGGGGCCTTGAGAAACAACAAGCGTCTGAACAAATTAAATGAGAAATAGTTCATGCAGTAGCCCTTGGACCAGTGCGGACTGGGCCAGATGTGAAAAATGTGCTCTACACCGCAGCTGGGGAGAATGGTCCTACCTGGAGCCTCTGGCAGAAAGCTCCAGGGGAGACTCGAGGTCGACCCCTTGGCTTTTGGAGTCGGGGATACAGAGGATCCGAGGCCAGCTACACTCCCACTGAAAAGGAGATACTGGCAGCCTATGAAGGGGTTCGAGCTGCTTCAGAAGTGATTGGCACTGAAGCACAGCTTCTCCTGGCACCCCGGTTGCCTGTGCTGGGCTGGATGTTCAAAGGGAGGGTCGCCTCTACGCATCATGTGACCGATGCTACATGGAGTAAGTGGGCTGCACTAATTACACAATGAGCTCGAACAGGAAATCCCAGTTGTCCAGGAATTCTAGAAGTCATCATGGACTAGTCAGAGAGCAAAGACTTTGGAATGTCACCAGAGGAGGAGGTGATGTGCTGAGGAGGCGATGTGCTGAGGAGGCCCCACTGTACAACAAACTCCCAGACAGTGAGACACCCCTTGGCTTTTGGAGTCGGGGATACAGAGGATCCGAGGCCAGCTACACTCCCACTGAAAAGGAGATACTGGCAGCCTATGAAGGGGTTCGAGCTGCTTCAGAAGTGATTGGCACTGAAGCACAGCTTCTCCTGGCACCCCGGTTGCCTGTGCTGGGCTGGATGTTCAAAGGCAGGGTCTCTTCTACGCCTCATGCGACCGATGCTACATGGAGTAAGTGGGCTGCACTAATTACTCAACGAGCTCGAATAGGAAATCCCAGTCGTCCAGGAATTTTAGAAGTCATCATGGACTGGCCAGAGGGCAAAGACTTTGGGATGTCACCAGAAGAGGAGGTGA